AAAAAAAAAAAAAAAAAAAAAAAAAAAACTAGGACTAGAGGTTCCATTTGACCCAGCTATTCTGAGTATCTTCCCAAAAGAATTAAAAGGATTATACCGTGGCAATATATGCACACCTATGTTTATAGTGGCACAGTTTGTAATAGCCAAATCGTAGAAAAAACCCAAGTGCCCATCAACTGATGAATGGATAAGGAAGATGTGGGGTTTTTTTATACAATGGAGTACTACTCCGCCATAAAGGATAAACTTGAGACATTTCTAGGTGAATGGATGCACGTTGAGACCATGCTTTTATGTGAAATAAATTGGACAAACATGTAAATACCGCACTGTTTCTCTGGTGTGAGAAACCAAAGGTGTAAATAAGGAACATAATGTATAATAGATATTGTGAAATAGGAAGAAAATTTTCAAATGGGGAGGGGGAAAAGGGGGGAAGAAGAGAACAGTACAAAAGAAGGAAAACATGGAACAAAAGCTTTGTAAATGGGAAGAAACGTTGAAGGGAGGGCAGAATGGGAAAAAAACAAGTTATATCATGAACAGATACAAATTCTCTATGATGAATGTGATCATTATGTGTATCTAAAATGTACCAATGAAAATTGATTTTAAAGAGATGGAAACCCAAATGTTCACAAACTAAAACCAGATTAAAATGTGGCTTATGTAAACAATGGGATTTATCCAGTCACAAAGAATAAAGTACTGACGCCTGCTACAGCAGATAACCTCGAGCACACTTTGCTAAGTACAGGAAGCCTTGTAAGACTGGGGGATGGGGGGTGATAAAAACGAGTTCATTAAGTGCTGAAACGCTTCTAAATTTGACTGTGATAAAACCAAGCCAGAAAAACTTAATTTTTTTCTAAGAATCATACAAAAATTTTTTTCGTAGAATCGTATTTTTCCCCCCAGTACTGGGGATTGAACCCAAAGTCTTCACACTAAGCTACATTCCCAGCCCCTCTTTGTTTGAGACTGGATCTCAGTCACCAACTTGCCCAGGTTGGGCTTCAACTTGTGACCCTCTAGCCTCAGCCTCCCAGGGTGCTGGGACTATGGGCACACCCCAGGAAATCATGCACGTTTGCACTGTAAACGGGTGAACTGCTGGGCGTGGCGGCAAACGTCTGGAATCGCAGCACTCAGGAGGCTGCAGGCCTGGGCTAGGCAGTACGTTCAAGGCGTAGCGAGAGCCTGTCTCAAAAAACCAAACCAAACATGTTTATGTACACATACATAAATAAATTTTTAAAACTGATAAGCGGGTGAACCGCAGGCAAGTTACAGCTCAGGAAAGTGACACCAGAAAAACACTGCTTTCAAAGCACAGCCCGGGCCTCGCAGGAGGGCGGCCCCGAGGCGGGCCCGCACTGCGCCCTCCCCGGGGCGGGCCGCGG